TAAAAAGCAAATTTCCTTTCTGTGCTTGACTTGTTAAGGCCAACACACATGAAAAAGTATGTTTCTTATTTGACAGTGAATGTTGATCTGTTTCCTCTAAAAGAGAAGGGCCTTCTGCTGCTCTCCTCAAACCCTAATTTTTAAAAACCAAACAAGTTTTCTTCCAAGAGTTTGTTGAAAGCTCTGATGTTTTTCATGCCTTAAAGAGAACTAAATTCATTGACAAGGTACATGTTTCTTTTCCTTGTTCTGCTAATGCAGGTTGAGGATTAGGTTTAATTGTACTATGCCCAAAAAATGGTGTGTTGAGATGTTCATATTTATGTTTCCCTGATGATATGCTATACCAAAGTGGCCAAATGTGTCTTAAAGACAAGATTGAGGGAAAGCAAAGGTTGATGCTACCAATGTAAAGTAACTATACAGTTTAGGAGAGTAGAGCCAAGTCTCCCTCATGTTGACATCAGTTCTCACACAGGCAACCCAGCCTCAAAAAATGAGCCTCCGTAAAGATGGAAATATTTTTATGTTGTGTGATAATCCTGTAAGAAGTGAGTTGGTTTTAATTACAAATTTTAAGTTCAGATTTTTAGGTTGAGGGTGCAACTGTTTATTCTCATACAAATCTTTACATTTTGCCCACTGAGCAACATAAACATATTTTCATGGTTTTTCATGGTTATGGACAATCATTTTTTGTGCTTTGGCTACTTATAGATATCAAAACAAATTTATGCTCAGGCAACTAACTGACACAATACCCCTCTGTTAAAAGAAAAAAAAAGGGTAAACTTTATCAAATGTTTAAGAGGGTAACCTGCCATACACCAACATATTCTGGCAAACTAGATGTGCAGGCATCAGATGACATTTGCTATGGTATTGACAAGGAGAATTTATTTGACAATCAATAGCTATAACTGTAGTGGGTGATTATTTTCTTTATTCTCCTAACCTTGATGTTTGCTTCAGCAGTAACACTGTAAGGAGAAATAGGATGCTAGTCACTGCTAAGATTTAAAGGTATAAGAAAGAAAAAAACCTCTGTCATGCTAATAGTTGTTTCTGAAGAAACCACCTGGTAAGTAGACACCTCTGGCTTAAGACTGACAGACCCCAACCTGTTGTGATGATAAAATATAATCTTACACTATCTGATATCAACCTACTGTAATTTGGTTGTTGAATGAAAAAGTGTGAAAATGGAATTTTATAGAGCACAATAAAACATAATCTAACCTTATCAAGTCTTTATACTTGAGAAATAAGACATCGGGATCATCCCTGTGCCTCTACCAGCCTAACACATGATCACTCCAATGACCGTACAACACTGGAATAAAAGAATTGCAAATCATCTAAAGAAAGGGCCAGAAGGGAAGGAAGGGGGGCGGCAAAATGCTGAAATTGTGTACCTTTGCTTTTAAAAATACACCAAACCCAAGGATGTATTTTTTCATCCAAAAAGGTTTCTGGAGTTGACTCTAACCATTTCACTCACAAATCTCATAAATACTTCTCCTGACTATTTGCCATTCAATTCTTATGATGCAAGTTCACTTTATGCTACATGGACACTGGAATAAGCTCCAGCTGGATGGACCAATAGACTTAAGTAAAAACTTTACCTTACCTTCATCTCAAAGATAACCAGCATGTAATGATTATGGAAATGAGGGGACTATGTATTCAATCAAACTAATCCTTGATTAATTGTCTTGAAATATTCTGCATCAACAAAGTCTTTCATTTCTTTCCTTGTCACCCAGATGTGATCAAAGTATCCTTCATGTAGTCTGACACAACCTGTTACTTAGTTCACTATGTAGAAAAATACCTGGGAAACAAAAAAAAAGATTTTGTGGACAGACATTCTTTTGGCAAGTGAAGACAACAAGTTCTGAAAAATATTTGAGTGCATCTCAGTATTATTATTGGGCCTGAGATAAAGAAAACTCTGTCAAATCTGAGATAGGTTTTGATTTCGTTTCAATTAGAGGAAAAGAGCTGGTTTCATTCTTTTGAGGACATAAGAAACATCTCTATATTCCTAAAAGCATGAACAAACTAAAATTTATATCAACAAGGTACCATAACCTTGCCTTTAGCCTGACACTCCTTCAGCTTTAACAATGTTATCTTTTTAACACTATTGACCTCACCTTGTCATTTTTGTTTTTGTTTTTTTTTATCACAGCAGTTGGTGCATTGCTAAGAAACTGAACTTTAAGATCAGTGCCACAAGTTTCGTTTAAACTTTTTGATGCTACTTGAAAATAAAGAAATGCCATTTTATTTATATTTATTGATAACATTATTAAGAAATGGACAAAACCCTATTGCCCAATAAACCATCAAGTGTGTTGAGAAAGATGACTAGACATTTTTTGTTTGCAGATAAACCCCAAGATGAAACCATTCAAATAAAAGCAACTATACTGTGCATGTAACTTTTTTGTTAAGTAGACTATGTTTAGTTTATTTTGCTCTGAATATGGTTCAGCTACTCAAAACATAAGGAAAAGGCTGTGCACATGACCATTCCAATGATAACCACTGTCCTTTAGAATTGTTCATTCCAGTTTTACTAAACTTAAACCCCTTAACTCCAAAAAGTGATTAAAATGTAACTTCTCCCTCTAATAACCATACATTATCCAGCAAAATGGCAACAAGAATCCTCAAACTAATCAGGTAGAAGTTATTATCTTAATCTAACACTAAATTTTCATTATTAAATTATGAGGAAATGTGTTGCTGCTAGTAGGGAGAATCAACAATCAAATCAAGAGAGTTAACCCTTTAACTCCCATGAGTGACCAAGACAGAATTTCTCCTTACAATATCAATACAATATCACTGTTGATTTATCAAGACTAATTAAATTTCATCATATGCACAATCCACTTGATTACATATCTAATTGTGGGCTAGAGTCAAACCTTTGGTTACAGACATTATTTTCACGATTTCCATAAAAGAAGAAATTGCTATTCCCATTCCAGTTGTTAATAAAGCATTTAGTGATAACACAGGATTAAAATATTAACATTTCCTTAATCTCCCTTGAAATAAAGATTACATCAGGGGTTTACATTTTGAGGGATTTGCCTTAGTGAAAGACAAAACTAAAGAAAAAAATGTAGACAATTAAAACAGTCTGAAAAGCTTCAAATCTAAATAAAAAAATTGTTGACTAATCCCAAGTTAGCTTTAAAATGCTTTGAACAAATCTGCCCAATTGTCAAAATTGCGTTGCCTGATAACCAACTTTTCTAGTTCACTTACTGTCTGGATAAAGCTCTAAGCGAGCTACAGTTCAATCCATATCCCAAGAGGCAGTTTGGTTCCAGAGAGTATCAAGGGTAACAAAAGACATTTTTATGGTAATTTCGATGTTTGAACCTCTCAGAGAGATGATGTGATGCAAATTATGTGATATCTCTATGTGTAATATGGCTTCTCGGCTAAAATAGTATATTGACTGGCATGTACCAGAGGCACATACCTGCAATAAAATAGGCTCATTTATTGAGAACAGTCACAATGCAAGATGCAGGCAGTAGTGCCAGTCAACATTGTGCATGAACACATTATTAAATAATTCTTTTCTGTTTGTGATATCTTAGGGGAAGCAGTAATAACAGCAAAACAAAATGACTGAAACAAAACAAGCAAAACAAGCTAAACAAGGAAAATGAAACAGCCATAACAACTAAAATGAAATGACCAAAACAAAACAACCAAACAAAATGACTTCTATGACCAAAACAAAACCACTACAATGATCAAGACAAGTGGAGGATAAAATGTTGCAGAACTTGTAGATTTCACTTCAGATATTCTCTCACATTTTTAAAACCTTTTAAATATTAAGGCTGTCTCACAAAACTTTTTTCCTCTCCACACAAGCAGTGAAACTATAATTCGATACTTATATGTAGTTTCTTGGACAGAATGCCAGCCGTATCAAAAACCAAAGCATATCTCACAGAAAGAAGAGGAGGAAATAGATAATGGTATTCAATGACAATGTCTATGTACCTAATTTTTTCCATTTATTTCTTTTTTAATTAAGGTTTCATTGACAACTCACGCCAAGCAGATGGTAATTGAGACATAACTGAATTTCCCTAATGAGGTAGATCAGGAGTAGACCATAATTGAAATGAGATAAATATATCAGCTGGCACTGAAATTAAATTTTCTAGTCATTTCGGTCGTTTCGGTTTGGTTGTTATGTTCATTTCATTTCAATTGTTTTTTTTTGTAGATTCAATGGTTTCACCTATTTCATTTTGTTTTGCTCATAACCATTGTTTTGTTTTGCTTGTTTTGCTCCTTTTGCTTGTTTTACTTGTTTCATTTTGGTCATTTCATTTTGCTGTTTCAGGTTTTAGTACATGCCAATCTTAACAATCATAACAACCTTTCTTTTTGACTCCATCATTCCTATTGCCATACTTTCATCATCGTCATTATCCTTTAGGTTTTTCTTCCGTCCTTGAATTCCCTCACACTCTACTCCATCTTCTGACAGTGCACTGTGCTCAAGTTCCAGTTGATCTTGAAGTTCCTCATACCTTTTTTTTCAGTTCTGATTTCTCTTTTGTGATTCGTGGCAAACGTTGAACACAAACTGCACTGAATATCCTTGAAATCCTTGGTTTTGGTTGAACTGTGCAGAAGTTCTTGCTAGTGATAAAATCTAAGAGAGAAATCTCCTCTGTAAAATCCAATATTTGAATTCATAATCTCATCAGTGTATTCGCAAGACAAAATCCCCCAAAGTAGACAACCAATTTTCGAACAAACTGCCCAGCTTACTATCCCTTTTAAGAATTAAATTGCTCTTAATCGTTATTTTCTCGCCATCCCTGACCGATAAAGGTTAATCCCTTGAAGACAAACGCCCCAAACCTAATCTCGCAAAATAAGCTCTCTGAGCCGCCATTTTGAATCGCTTTGCAACCACTCATTCTAGAACGCCTGGCTGAAAATCAAGCATCAGGGCGCTAAAGAAATTAAGATGCGTGACTTCACTCGAAAAATTTCATCAAATGGGGTCTTTATTTTTCCTTCATGATCAAGGACATACAGCAGAGAGCTCTAGAAGTCTTCTTACAAGCATTTTGAACAAAGACTTTGAGTTTGACCATATTCGAGTAATTTATCCGCAATATTTATCAGCAATATTACTTTCCAGGTCGCTCATGGCGGACTTGAACAAGGGCTTTGGTACGAGCGGAACACGTTAAGCCCCACTGCTATGGAGAGGATGGACTCGATTGATCACTTCTGCAGTTTGATTTGCCATTTGATTGATCAGGAAAAATCTCGCGGAATTCCACTGGATAGGATCGTCATTGGTGGATTTGGTATGGGAGGAATCTCGCCATGCATGTAGGGTTCAGGTATGCGTGTAAGAGGGTCATGACTTACAGATATAATATTCGAACTCAATTTTAGTGGCTTAAACTTTAAACGGTCGATAATATTAATCTAACACCCCAAAAAGACATAAAGTGGACTGATCATGACATTCTTATGGCATAATTAACTTGCAATCGTAGTTTAAGCGAAGATAAAATGAGCGTAACGTGGGTAACATTTACATGGCGTGTGTGTGTGTGTGTGCAAGTGGGACATGTTGTGAAATGACAGAACCATCACTGAAGAAAGCTGGTTTTATTTTTTCGTCATGTCACGAGCATTGAAAAAGATAAAAATTACGGGTTCCCATAAAGGAAGTGAACCTCCGATCTTCTGCTCCCGCTCTCCTATGGTCTACCACTAGGCCACAGAGCCTCATCTACGACAGAGTTCATATGTAACCACAGGCAGCTCAAGCTTCAGTTGTGATATGATCATTTTGCAGAATAGCATTCATGGAAAAATTATGAGAGTCTGTATGAGAATATTTGTGACCGCTCTAAGGAATAAAAAAATAAATCAAATTCTCAATAAAAATACCTCACCTTATTTCCACAGTGCATTGCTTATTATCTGACTGTTTACTACATTGAAGGAAACCAATTTTAGCAAGTTATCCATTTCTAGGTTTATGGCTACATATGAGAAGCCAGAAGGGTTATTCTTATATATGTAATAAACCTAGAAATAGATAACTCGCTAAAATGGGCTCTTTTAAACATAGTAGGTGGTCAGATAACAAGCAATGCACTGTGGAAGTAAGGTGAGGTATTTTTATTGATAGTTTGACTTACCAGTTTATTTTTTAATCCTAAGAGTGAATGTAAATATTCCTTTACAAACTCTTTTAAGGTGGTCTTCCACTCACATTTTAAAAATTTTCAATATTAGCTGGGTCCAATTCATTATGGTACCACTGGAAATATCATCCACAATTGTTGTGAATTGTGCTAGTGATTGACATTTTGTAACCATGGCAACAAGTTTTAAGGCCCCCCGACGGTGTAAAAAGCTACCCATCTGCTAAAAAGAATGTCTAAAGAATCAGAGGTCCCATTGTCCTATAAATGGTAACAAAATGAACTACAATGATTGCTCTATACTGTAAACCTCAAAAAGTAAACTATCAAAGTATTTTTCAGAACAATAACAATTTATTTCTGAGAAGAACAATATTTTAGCCCCAATCATTCCCAACAAATTGAAATGAGATTCATGCACTTTCATATAACTGTTTTTTTTTGTTCATAACACGGCATAAATACAAGAGAGAATTCACTGAAAATTTCAGTTCAATCGCACTAAAAGAAGCAAAGATATCCTTTTTGCTGTTTTGGCTATTAAGGCAAAATTACAGAATTGAGAAAACTGAGATTAAAGTTTTGAGTTGTAACAGAGAGTAGCCATTGTCATGGAAAACAATGTTTTGTGCTAATTTCCACTTGACACGTTAAAATCCACCAGCTACATAAATATCACCCTCCTTTTCTTGTTGTTTGTCAGTTTTTTTTCTTTCTTTTGTCACGGAGCAATCTCCACTGAGACTTGTTGACTCCTTGCTCTTTGTAGTTGGCCTTTAGAACTTGGACTGAATCAGCTTGCTGAGCCTCATCTTTACAGTAGTGACCAGGAGAAATTCCAATTTCCTCAAGAATCTTCACAGAAGCCTGACATCCAATATTAAAGTGGACTACTGCATCATAAATGCCCAACTGCAAGGTCTCAGGGCCAACAAAGACACTCTTCAGTACTCTCTCCCAGAACATAGCATCGAGGGCCTCAATCTAATTTTGTGTCTTTCCATCAAGACATCTGCTCAGAAGACTGACTTCACCCAGTCTAGCAAAAATTGGTTTCAGTTCAGCAATGACATCTAAGGGTAAACCAGCCTCATGCTTATAGTAGTTTGTTTGATTAGCTTGATCCCTCATGTACCTACACCAACTAGTAGCACCCTCTGGGAAATGCTGCAAATGCAACTTTCTGTCAGCTGAGGATGCACAATGAAAGAAACTTGCATGAATAGCTGATTTCATAGCTGGAAAATTACCAGGACTCTTATTTTGCAAGATGATCATCTCACAGCTGGAGCTTGGGCCACCTGTGATGTGACACATGTTCTGCATACCACTAGAACTATTACTTAAGCTGAATATTGCCTGACAGAGAAATTGCATGGGACAAAGAAATTGCACTTGACATTGTAAGACTTGTCCTTTTTTCTTTTGTCCATCAGGTATCTCACAAACATTGCTGGTGTTTTTGCTCATTCTTCCATCTTATCAACACGATCAACTGTGTTTGAGACAATAAGAAAAGAGAGAGAACTTAATGAGGACCAGAAGTTCCCTGCTTTGTTTATGTGGAATGGAAGAAAGGATAAAAACTGGCTGAGATGGGCTGCACACACTGCAGAGTGTTTCATGGACTTGAAGATACAAACTGATTTCCAAGTGAATTATGCAATGCAAGGACATGAAATTATATCAGATGAAATATTTTACTTAAGGAGATGGGTGGAACAAATGATTCCTAATCTTGACAGAAATGCCAATTATCACTAAAGTAGATAAACAAGTGCATTTCAATTTTGTTTGGGTTACTGTTCAGTCTCTCAAGTTTATCTGATTTGATTTGGTAGTCGTGATAAACAGGGAAAAGAGACACAGTATACAAGGGTGGAGTCCTGTCTTTTTTTTTGTTTTGTTTTGACATCTGTCTGACAGATTAGTGTCAAAAGCAGCTTTTTTTTTTTTTTTTTTTAGCTCCTATCACAGACAATTATATATTCAGGTTTTAAACTATTTCTGCCTTGTCATTTGGCCTAAGTTTACTAAATCTTTTCTTTAAGTTATTGTTATTTTTAATCTGCTGTGCTGATGCGGTACTACAGAACTAGAAAAATTGATCATTGAATAAAGGGGGTAAGTTTCTAAAGAAACTATGGTGGTCTTTGACTTATGAAAGAGGCCCCCCTAAAATTGTTTCCACGTAATACGAGTAAATATACCGAAGATAGAAACCCCTGTAAAAGTATAAGATTAGGCGAACTTTGCGTGATCGGGTAACGCGTGACCATCTGTTACCATGACCATCGAAAACTTCGCGTGACCGCTGAGGCAGAGCCACTTTCCGCCAAAGGCACCAGACGATGACGTCACAGGAACGCCCTAATTTTCTACTAGAGTGAAGCCGAATTGATGTACCTTTTCTCTCAGATTTATCGCTGTTATTCGCTGAGTTGTTCCTTATGTTTGTGATTAAGCAGGTTTGTATTTCTTAACTTTCTTAAGATCGGTTTTCTAGTCTAACAGAGTTAGATGAAATGCAGTTTATAGCTACCGTTCCACTAAATTTCAACTTGAGTCTTTCGAGCACGCATTAGATTATTGCGAACCCAATTAAACTTTGGTTGAGAGTAGTCTATGTAAAGTAACTTAGAAAACAAAATAGCGTAAATTAAGTAAATGAATGTGTCTCGAGGCGCGCCATTTATACACGTAGCCGTCTACTACAATGCCATTGTTGAACTTTTGTTTTCGATTATCATCATCCCGAGTTGATATCAATATCTGAAATAATTTTTGCGCAGCTAACACCTTCACAGCCCTCTCTGCTACTGTTAGTCGCCTACTACATGTGTTGGATCTAGAGAAAAGCTTTGCGAACAAAATAGAATAAGTAAAACGTTCCAAGTTCTTGCCTTTAAGGAAGTCCTGATGAAATTCTATTTTAGCGTAATTTTGCCAACTATTGTGCATGACCTAGATTTATGGGGTGCGTGCTAAAACTCCGATATTAGAAGCTCAATTGAGAGACTTTAAGTTACTCTCTTAATGTCCTAGATTAACTCTTCGTTGCTAGCTCTGTATGTAGTATTTTACATGTATATACTTCAAGTAATGTTCAGTAGAGCATGCACAACCCCACAACCTTTGGAGCTGTAACTCTTATCGCGTCGAATTAAAGGGTTTAACGTTTTTTTTTATATTTATCCTCTCCCTCTCCAACCACAATTAAGTGATATGTATTGGTTCATAAATAAATGAGCCACAACCTCTTTAATTTAAGGCTTTACTCAACTGTTTATTTCAGGAAGACAATGGCCACACCTGCTCCTCCAGTGTCATTTTCCTCTACTAAAGAGACCACCAATTATGCAAGACTTTGTCGTCTTCTGGTTGATGTGGGATCTTGTGTGCTACGGGACACATTTGACAGGATTAATCCCCCAAGCGACCTTCACAAACACTTGGCGACACATCACACCAAACTTCAGCAACTTCAAAAGAAAAAAGTCTTAAATCCAACACAATGGGGAAAGTTATACCCAGCAATACCTACCTCAGTATCATCAAAAAACTTTGACATAACTCTTCTGACAGTCCTACTGAGGAACATTTGTAGCCTAGGACCACCAGCCACTGGATGGGATGCACTTCCCCCTGTCATAGATATGAGCACAGAGGCCGACATTGCTCGAGTGAAATACTTTAGAAATACAGTGTATGGCCATGCTGAGAAGGCTTCTGTGGATGATACTACATTCAATGTGTATTGGCAGGACATCAAGGATACTTTAGTGAGACTTGGAGGACCTGCATATGGAGTGGCAATTGATAATCTTAAAAATGAGTGCATGGACCCTGTATTTGAGGAACACTACAGAGAACTTCTAAAGGAGTGGAAAAGAGATGATGATAACACCAAAGACAAACTGGACGAAATTGATCAGAAACTTGAAGAACTGATATTGAAAGCTTCAACAAGCACACCATTGCCAAAAGGTAGATTTTAAATTTACTAATTAAGAGTGGTGAGGATGGAAGGAGAGGGAGAAACAAATTATAATAGAGAAGGGGAGGAAAACAGAGGTGGACCTAATTAGGACAGAAGAAACTAAGAAAAATCTCCCAATCTTGTCATTCAATCGTATTTTCCATTTCATCTTTCATTTTCCTCTTCATTTCACTTTTTTATTCCTGTTTTTGTTTCCTTTCAGTTTTTTCCTTTTTTCCTCTTTCCCTTGATTTATTCATATTTTCTTCACCTTCCCATTTGAAGTACAAAAAGGAGAAAATTAAGCAAATCAAACACAATTCCAAGTTTTTTTAAATTTAATATTCAATACCATTATGAAAGCAAAATTAATCCTTTATTACCTAATTTACCTTAATTTAATTTCAGATGTTGAAGAGCCAACTAAACTTATAGAAAGGATTCGCCAACTTTACCAGATACGGGAAGGAAGAATTTCACCATTTCCTTGGTGTGAGTTCTTCAACTTTGACATTAATGAGATATTTACCATGCCAACCATTGTCAGGCAAGACAAAACTAGAAGAAGAGCTGTAGAACAGGTAACCAGCATAACTGGAGTCTTTAAACCTCACAGTGGATGCTCCAAGCCTAGAACTGTCCTGATTGAGGGAGAACCTGGAATGGGCAAAACAACCTACTGTCAAAAGGTAGTGTATGACTGGGCTGATGGTAAAGAAACAGATGCTTCTTTCCCAAAAATTAAATTGGTTCTCCTGCTCAAATGTCATGACATGTCGGGCAACATCTGGGAAGCCATTGATGATCAGTTGCTTCCTCAAGATATTGAAGAGGAAGAAAGAGAGAACTTCTTCAAGTACATTCGTGCCAATCAGTCCCAGGTTCTGCTGGTTTGTGATGGATTGGATGAAGCACCTACCAATGTTGTGGAACTGTTTTCCCGCCTTGTTGAGAGCAGAGAACTCTCAAAGTGTCATATAATTCTTACATCCAGGCAAGAGGGGAGTGTTAAGATTAGTAAGTTTTGTGACACCTTGCTTCAAATGGAAGGATTTGTTTCAGATAATTCTCACAATTACATCATGCATTACTTCAAAGACTTGGAGGCACAGGGACAAAACCTTCTGAAGGACATAGAACAAAATATTGAACTTAGAGAACTGATTGTCAATCCCTTATTCACAGCATTGCTTTGTCTTGTTTATGAAGATTTAAAAAGTGGTCTGCCTCTAAGCAAGACTCAGTTGTATCTTGAAATCACAGAATGCATTCTTAAGAGATTTTGCCAAAAACAAGGATTGTCTCACAATAATGACGACCTAACTGAAGTTTTCAAGGAAGAGCTGGAACAATTGGGAAGTATAGCCTTGAAGGCCTTGAAGAAAGATAAAATGCATATTGAAGACAGTGAATTTCCAGGAACAACAGGAAAATCACCTCTATTTGAATTTTTATCAGTTCAGTCTAACAGCAGCAAAAGAAGATCCCATACATGCTACCGATTTTCACACAAGAGTTTTCAAGAATTCTTTGCAGGTCTTTATCTCTCTAACCAAATTTTGAAAAGGGAAACAGACTTTGAGACTCTGCTTGCAAGTGAAAGACAAAACTTAAAGTTTCTTGAACCAGTCATTTTGTTCACTGTTGGTATTCTTGGCCATAAAAGAGAAAATGGAGCCTTGTCTCTTTTACATATCATTATCAAGAAAGCCAATCTTTTCAAAAACTTAAAGTTTCACAATTTTTATTTGTGCTTTGCTTTAAATTGCATTGGTGAATGCTCCACAGAAAATTCAGGACTTCGATCCCAGATGATAAATTTGCTAGGAACAAACCTAGAACTTCAAGAGATGATGATATCTGACAACAGTTTTCCCATTAAGTTGTTTCTTGAGGCCCTTCAAGTTAACAGCACACTTACTCATTTATTCATCATGGTTCCAGTGATGGGAGACCAGTCTATTGTGTCCTTGGCAAATATGCTTCAAGTCAATAAAACTCTGACTACAGTTAGAATTGATGCAGAAGGTTTTTTCAGTGCACATACTGTGCAACAACTGGCTGATTCTCTAATGGTTAACAAAACATTAAATTGCTTGATGTTTATGGGAAATGCATGGGGCAATGATGCAGTCAGGATCTTGGCAGGTTATATGAAGAGGAGTGAAAGCTTGAGTTCCTTAGATCTTAATTATTGTGGTGACATTGGTGATGCAGGAGCCACAGCACTTGCAGAGGTTTTAAGGACCAGCACCACTTTAAACAGTTTGGGCCTTTCTAATAACCCAGGTATTGGTAATCCCAGTGTTACGTCACTGTGTGAGGCTCTGAAAGTCAACACAACTCTTAGTTCATTAAATTTGTCTGGAACTGGTATTAGTGATGCTGGTGTTCTTTCTCTTGTGGAAGTTCTCAAAACCAATGCCAGCAGCCTAACCTCATTGTTCCTATCAGATATCAAAATAAGTCATCAAAGTATAAAGTCTATTGCAGAAATCTTGAGAGTCAACTCTACTTTGAAAAACCTTAAATTTGAAGGAAATAAGGTTGGTGTTGGTGGAACAAAGTTGATAGCTGAAAGCCTTAAAGCCAATACAACCCTGAAACTTCTCAGTCTCTCAAGGAACAACATCAAAGCTAAATGTGGCCATTTATTTTCTGATTCCCTCAAAGTTAATGGGACACTGGAATCTCTGACTTTGGCAAATAATGCCCTTTGTTCTCGTGGTGCTCAACTTCTATCAGATGGGCTCAGAGTGAATACCTCACTTAGACATCTGGACCTGTCTTGGAATTTTATTGGTAGTGAAGGTGCAGAGTCAATTGCAGAGACCATCAGAGTTAATGCTTCACTGACCAGCTTGGAGCTAAAAGGGAACAATATTGGTGATCCTGGAGCCAACAAAGTTTCTGAAGCTCTTAAAGTCAATGTTTCTCTGAAGGCCCTGGATTTGTCAGGTAATGCCATTGGTGCTGCTGGAGCTGAGTCAATTGCTGAGGCCCTTAAAATTAATGCTACTCTGACTTTTTTACACCTTAATCATAATGTCATTGGTGATAATGGAGCCCAATCACTTTGTGAGGCTCTTAAGAAAAATGCCACCTTGACCACCCTGCATGTTTGTAACAACAATATCCATTCAGCTGGTGCTCAAGCATTTGATGAGCTCCAAGGACATAATAACACCTTAAAGGAAGTAGCTATGATCATGAACAATATTGGTGACCTAGGTGATCATGGGGATCAAGAATTTAATGAAGTCCCCATGGGAAGCTTGCCTTTTTTTCCTATTTCATGTGATCTTTCACTGCGCTGTACTGATCAAGGAAGCTTTGATGTATTTGTTTCTAAAGACACTTTGATGCTACCTCAACAGTGAAGCATTTTGTAGATAACCAAATGGAAGGCAAGTTGTAAAAAGCTAATTTCATTTCTGTGCTGGAATTGATAAGGATGACATCCATGAAAAACTATGTTTACTTGTAGACAGTGAAGTTAGATCTCTTTCCTCTAATAAGAAGCTATTGATGACTGGTTTGAGCCTGAGTACAGTTTGGATCTCTCTCCAGTTGGCTGGTGTGAAAAGAGAAAGGCCCTCTGACACCCTCCTCAAACCTCTAATTTCTCTGGGAGTGAACTAAAAAAGTTCTCTCTGCTTGACTTGCAGAAAGCTCCGATGTTTTTCTCGCATGAAGGAGATCTAAATTCACTGACAAGGAACATGTTCCTTTTTGTCGTTCTGCTATTGCAGCCTGAGGATTAAGTAATGCATAAGTTTAACCATATACAAAAGAAAATGGTGTGCTAAGATGTTTATTCTTATGTATACCTAGTAATATGTATTCTATACCAAAATGGCCAATTGTGTTTAAAAGACAAGATTAAGGAAAAGCAAAGGTTGTTGCTACCAACATAAAATCACCATACAGTTTAGGAGAGTAGAGCTAAGTCTTCCTCACAGCTGACATCAGCTATCACACAGGTAGCCCAACCTCACAAAATAAGCCTCTGTAAAGATGCAAATATGTTTATGTTGTTTGATAATCCTATGAGAAGTAGGTTTATTTTAAGTATATATCATAAGTTCAGATTTTTAGGTTGAGGGTGCAACTGTTTATTCCCATACAAATCCTTACATTCCACCCACTGAGCAACATAGAAATATTTTCATAGTTACAGACACTTTTTTTTGTGCTTTGGCTACTTTTGGCTAATAAAACAGATTTATGCTCAGGCTTTAAGGTAACAATCAGTTACAAAACTGAAAAAAAAAACAAATAACTCTGCTTCCATTTGATATTATTCTGATTGCTTGAGCATATATGTTTGGACTTTCCAAACATTTAAGGATGTACCATGTGCACATGAACATGAGATGAACCTGTGAGTGATCAAGCTGGTATACACCTTTGGTCAGCTCAGCTGCTGCTTATCCCAAAAAACTGTTGAGCTGGGAACCTGGTCTCAGACTAAATAAACTTCACATGAAAGAGGGACATTAAGAAACAGTTAATGTATTTTGGACCAAATGAAAGTAATATCTGTAGTGAACCGTCGGTAGATACATTAACCCTTTACACCCTATCATCAGTATTCAAATTCTCCATCCTGTTCTCTGTACATTTACTAAGGTGCTGACAAGGAGAATTTGTCTACCAATCAAGAGTTTCTCTAGTTGGTGATCATTTCCTTTATTTTCATGACATTGCATGTGTGATTCAGTGGTGATATTGTAAGGAGAAATTAGATGCTAGTCACTCTTAGTGGTTAAAGGGTGGATGTATAGACCTTAGTTCAAACTAATTTTGTTAATTTTTTCTCAAAATTGACAGTCAATTAATTTTTTTGGTGTCTGATGATTTCAGTATTTGTATCAGCTTCCAGATGGAGCTTGTAAAAACTTAAGGACAGCTTTAATTTTCATTTGCTGATTATTTCTAGTTTGAGAAGGGCTATTCCAAGGATAAATTGAAAAAGAGTATGAAGTATATCTCCTCACATAGAAGGTTTTACAACACCTCCTGATAATTTTACAGCCATATTATATTACACTGACATCTTTTTAGTTTAAATGTATAAGCTTTTTTCTTCCTTCAGTGGAGTGGCTTATTATAAGCACTTCCGTATTCTTAAGTTGAAATAATCTCCAATTATACATAAATACTTCTATTTGTTAAAGTAGGTAAAAAAAATTAACAACTTGGAGCTAATTTGGACCTACCTAACTAAATAATTTGTAACAGGAATCACTAAATAGACTTAAAAACCCTTAAAATGTAATAATCAAACTAAATTAAATGTAATAGTATTTAGAAGTAGCATTGATATCTGTTCCTGTGATACCAGTAACTGATCCTTTCCTTAAACAGGTCAAACCTCTGAACTGTGCTATAGAGAAGTAAAATTCATGAAAACTGACATGATATTTATGTTATTTTGCCAAACCAATGGCCAGCAAATTTTTACAGAAACTGTAACAAAACATAATTTGGTTTTATCAAGTGAGTTGATAATGTAAAGAGTTTCTTAAGCAAATGTTTCCAGCATTAGCAGGAAATGAAAATGACAAAGGGCTAATGCTTGAAACATCGGCTTCAGGTTAGAGTACTTCAGGTCAGCTTCAGGTCAATTTACATTATCAACATTTCTGATACAACCAAATTATCTTGTAATCCCCCTTAACCCCTTCCCCTCCCCAAGTGAAAAAGCAGTACAGAACGTCACTTTTCTAAAATATGATTAGTTATCACCAACCAGATTTGAGCACTATTAGGACAATGTATACATCATGCCTGTAACTGTACAGTGTTATATATACCTGGACAATTAAAGGTGCCCATGTAGTTGTCTTGCATTTTGCTGGGTTAACTGATGATTCTTTAAATGAAAATGTATAAACAATGTCTGATTTCTTTCTCAAATTTTGACATAGTTTTGATTAATTGGTAACAAAAGGACTTCCTGTCATCCAATTCTGTCTGTAATCATACTTGTGATAATACCAAATTGGACTCCTGCTTTGTAGTCATCCAATTTTGTTAATCATTCATATGATTACAAACCGAATTGAACTTCACTTGGTCCCATTACCATTATTAATCAGAAACTTACCCCCATAATTCCACTGTAATACATACTACCAAAAGTAGACAACGATCAAGACAACGATCAAGCTCAACCTTCAAAGTCAAATTCCAGCCCAGTCCCTATCAGCTTGTTCATAACCTCATTTTCAAACATCTTGTTATGTTCTGGGGTGAAGTAATTTTTCCAGTCACCAATCCTTCCTTTGCATAAGAGTTTTTGCCATTGAGCTGTGCCCTCCAACCAGTAATTAGGCATGTTCTTCCATTCCTTTCCATTCTTTCATTCCTTTAAAGCTGCACTGTTCAGCAATTTTTGTAATGATATCTTCTGATAGCTGTTTACCAAGGAATTTGGCTTTTGCACAAACATTGCTGCACAAATCCTAAAAGGAACAGAAAAATAAAATAATAACTTGAAGTTCTGTAACAGTTTGGGTTGAGCCTCTCCCAGCTTTATTTCCAGTGTGCTATAGGTATGACAAATAACTGACACAACACCTCTGTTAAAAGAAAAAAAATTCAAACAAATGTTTAAAAGGGTAACCTGCAATACAGGTCCAGCATATTCCACTCACAATGAATGCCAATAGCAAGCTAGGTTCCAGCAAACTAGACATGTTGGCATCATAGGACAATTTGCAAGAACAATCTAGTGTTATTTCTCCTTATCTCTGATCCAATTACTTTGACCCTTCAGACCCTAACATCAGTATGCATACTTCCCATACTGCTCTCCATACCAACTCCATACATTTGGTATGGTATTGGCAAGGAGAATTTATTTGACCATCAAGAGCTTCTGTAGTTGGTGATCACTTTCTTTATTCTCATAACCTTGATGTTTGCTTCAGCAGTAACACTGTAAGGAGAAATAGGATCCTAGTCATTACTAGGATTTCAAGGGATAAGAAAGAAAAAAAAAAGCCTGGCATGCTAAGAATTGTTGCTTAAGAAACCATCTGGTAAGTAGACACCTCTGGCTTAAGACTGGCAGACCCCAACCTGTTGTGATGGTTACATAAAATCTTACACTATCAGATATCAACCTACTTTAATTTGGTTGATGAATGAATGAGTGTGAAATTGGAATTTCATAAAACACACTAAAACACAATCAAACCTTAATAAAGTCTTTGTACTTGAGAAATAAGACATTAAGATCATCCCCGTGCCTCCACCAGCCTAACACAGGATCCTTCCAATGACCATACAACACTGGAATAAAACAATTTCAGATTAAATTGTTCTTCAAAATACAATCACACCCATTTAAAGCTTAACTTTTTTTCCTTTTACATATGCCAGAATAAACATGCAGGCAGAACAGGGAAGTAGATTTCAAGTAAGGGCCAAAGGGCAAAGGGGAAGGATGGGGAGGGGGGACATTATGCTTAAATTGTGTACCTTAACTTTTAAAACTATCCCAAACCCAAGGACGGATTTTTTCATCCAAAAAGGTTTTTGGAGTTCTCTGACCATTTAAATTACAAATCTCATTAAAAAATTATCCTTACAGTCTGCTACATAATTTTAATGATGTAGATTGGAGAATTTGGTTTAGATAGACTAATAATCCCCTGATAGATATTATTGCGACACTTTGTGAAGTGACAGAACCATCACTGAAGAAACCTGGTTTTTTTTCGTCAAGTCACGAGCGTGGAAAAAGATATGAATTAAAGGACACACCTTCCGCTCCTTTCCGATGGTCCCGACTACCACCAGGCCACAGAGGCTCATATATGGCACATGTTCCGCATACAACTAGAACCATTTTCGTGACAGAGAAATCGCACGTGGCATTGTAAGACTTTTCCTTTTTCTCTTTTGTCCATCAGGTTTTTCACGAATATTGCTGATTTTTTTGCTCATTATTCCATCTTATCGACGCCGTCGACCTTTTTTAAGACACTGAGAAAAAAGGAAGGGCTTAACAACGACCAGAATTCCCCGCTTAATAGGTGGAATCAAGAAGAGATAAAAACTGACTGAGATGAGCCGCACACACAGCAGTGTTTTGTGGAATTGAAGATACAAACTGATTTCCAAGTGAATTACGCAATGCAAGGACATGAAATTATATCGGATGAAATTTTTCTCTTAAGGAAATGGGTAGAACAAATGATTCCTAATCTTGACAGAAATGCCAATGACCAATAAAGTAAATAAACGGGTGCATTTACTTTTCGTTTCGGTTACTGTTTAGTCTCTCAAGTTGATCTGATTTGATTTGATAGTCGTGATAAACAGGGAAAAGACCCAGTGTACGGGGTGGAGGCTAGGCCTGTCTTCC